CGAGTCTGTATTTGAACCAGCGCCACCAAGGAGTCTCTCAAGGAAGGGTTTTGTAGGGTGAGCATTGGGCAAGCCCGCAAGATGGTGGAGCAGCTAAAAATTGAAGCCAGTTTGTGCCGGATAAAGGTGGGTGGGACCCTCAGGGCCATTAATGGGCCAGGCCTCAGGTTAGGAAGAGATGCTTTCTTTCCTGGGCTCCTAAGCTCGGGGAGGGGTCCCAGTTTGTGTGGAGAGCTAGCTGTCCCAGGCCTTGGTGGGCGGGGAGGGAAGACTGTCTGAACGAGCCCCTAAGGGTGACCAAGAGAAGCCCTGGTGGGTAGTGGTTATGAGTGGGCCTGTGATCCACAAGGTCAGCAGTTCCAAACCACCAACCGTTCCGAGGCGGAAAGATGGGGCTTTCTACTCCTATAAAGAGTTAGTCTCCAAGGAAACTCACAGGGGCAGTCCTACTCTGTCCTATAGGGCCACTCAGAGTGGGCATCACCTCAGTGAGTGAAGGGTGGCCCAAGAGAACCCATTTGGGGAAGGAGACTGCAGTCCCTTCAGACATGTTGGCTAAGGACCGGTCCCCTCCTGCCTGTGCCCCACCCCAGGTGTCCAAGGCGGCAGCAGACCTGATGACGTACTGTGATGCCCACGCCTGTGAGGACCCCCTCATCACCCCCGTGCCCACTTCGGAGAACCCCTTCAGGGAGAAGAAGTTCTTCTGTGCCCTCCTCTGAGCTGCCCGGTCGGTCCCTCTTCCCCTTTCCCCTTTGCCAGTCGGCGTCCCTAGTACACCACCCCACCCCTACTCGGTGTCCCACCCCAGCAGGTTATCTGAAGCACAAGGCTCCCCCTCGACCACTCCAAGGACTCCATCATGTGGGGCACCCTTTGCTTGACCCAACAGAAGCGTCTCCCACCCTCCACCCCACCCCGGCAGACTCTGCCACGGTCCTGCCTGCTTCCCCTCTGGGCCCCAATCACACACTGGCGAGAGGGCGGGCCGGGGTCTGCTCGGCCTCACCTGGAGCTATGGGGAAGGTAAAGCCACGTGCAGAATAAAGTCCCCCAGCATCTGTCTGTCGCGGAGCCCGGCTCCCGTGTCAGCGTCCTTGGTGGGCGGGGGTGGGGTGGGGGCGCTGAAGGCCGGCGCTCGGTAGTAGGTTTGGAGGTGGGTGCGGCAGGGAAGAGGTCCCACACGGCGGGCCGAGGTCCAGGAGGCCTGGACGGAGTGGAGGATCGCGGATGGCGAGGCGGGGAGCGTGTTGGGTGGAG